TGTGGACCATAGCAAACTATGGCAAGTCCTTAAAGAAATGGGAGTGCCTGACCACCTTATCTGTCTCCTGAGATATCTATACATGGGACAGGAAGCAACAGTTAGAACTGGAAATGGAACAACTGACTGGTTCAAAATTGGAAAATGTCCAGCTATAAAAATTTGTTGTTTAGTCGTTAAGTCATGTCCGACTCTTCGTGACCACATGGACCAGAGCATGCCAGGCCCTCCTGTCTTCCACTGCCTCCTGGATTTGGGTCAAATTCATGTTGGTAGTTTCAATGACACTGTCCAACCATCTCATCCTCTGTCGTCCCCTTTTCTTCTTGCCTTCACACTCTCCCAACACCAGGGTCTTTTCCAGGGAGTCTTCTCTGTGCATTTAGGTTGTTAAAGGTACAGTGGTGCCCTACTTGACGATGATAATCCGTTCCAGGAAAATCGCTGTTACGCGAAATCATCGTCAAGCGAAAAGAAAAAAACCAAGTTAATGCGTTCCAATGGGGGAAATACCTCATTGTCCAGCGAAGATCCTCCATAGGGGAAGCCATTTTTGATCGCTGTCTTGTGAAAATAGGTCCGGAAAACAGCGGGGAGCCATTTTGCGAACTGCCGATCAGCTGTTTTAAATTGTTGTCTTGCGAACAATCGGTTCCCGAAACAGGGACCTAATCAATGTAAAGTGAAAAAAACCCATAGGAACCATCGTTTTGTGATAAGTTATAGTGATAGAAAAAACTCGTCGTCAAGTGGGGTCATCATCAAGTGGGGCACCACTGTAATCTATGTGCACATGTGACCAATTTCTTACAAAGAAATTTTAAGCAATAGTTTGATATCGGTTTATTTTTCATGTTTATAAACAGTTGAAATAAGATTGCATGGTTACTGTGTTAGTATTGCATAGAATACTTTAAAGAATGTACACTGTTAAGTATTAAGCTTATAACAAGCAATCTTTGACTTATTTGAAGCAACAAACTATGCAGCAAAAGCCAGATGATCCAGAGCAGCAGGATCAACAAAAGGCACAACACAAACCAACAAACTTAAATTTGTCTTCGAGAATGTGAAGTGTACGATGCTGTGTGTTCTCAATTCTACTATATGGCATGGAACTGTGAACTTTAACACTATTGCTATGTAAAACTCAGAAGCTTTTGGAATGCTTAGATCCAAAAATTTCTTGGATCAAGAGGATGACCAGGAAAGGGCTAAGACAAATGAACAAAAATCATATAAGATGAAAAATTGTAAAAGGCCAAGAAATCATCCTGAGCTGTTGGACTCTTGGGCCGACAGCTTCGCCTATTATCTGGCATTCCGGGAGATTACAGAGGAGGATAAGAAAAAGGCCCTGTTTATCAGCTCATGTGGGGCGGAAGTCTTGGACTTGGTGAAAAATTTAATTCAACCAAAGCAGCTAATAGAAGCTACTTGACGCCACAACCATCTCAGCTGGCGCGCCGCTGGGACTTCCATAAGCGTTCACAGTGCATTGGGGAGTCCGCAGTGGAATTTTTGACTGCCCTGCGTCGTCTTGCTCGCAGGTGTGGGTTTGAGAGACTGAACGAGGTACTCTTAGATCAGTTTATTTTTGGCCTACGAAGCGAGAAGCTATCAAGTAAGATAGTCATGCTTCCCCAATGTGATCTAGCGAAGGCAGTGGATTTTGCTACAGCCTGGGAGAGGGGCCATTCGGGGGACTACCAGCAGTCTTCCCGGCACCTGGGAACCAATCAGATCGCTCGAGAGAGGAGCACAAGCGACTCAGAGGGAGACGAAGTCTTGCAAATGCGCCAGGCCCCGAAAGGAAAGAGAGTCCACCCAACACCTGCTCAGGACCACCGGCCGGAAAGTGTTGCCAGCTCTGCGAGCTGTGGGGAGAAGCACGAGCGCCGTTTTTCTCGTTTTCGGGACGTTTCTTGCCACAATTGTGGAAAAAGGGGTCACCTCGCCCGTGTCTGTGGTTCTAGGTCCATTGGGAGATGTACAGGGGGCTGGAAATCAGGACATGCGGCGGAGCTGCTAGAGGCGGAATTGCATTCCCCCCCCCTCTACAAGTCCACTCCAGGTGTTATGCCTTCCCAAACCTTCCTGTTCTGCTAAAATAAGGGTGAGGGTTGCTATAGAGGGGTCTCCCTGCGAAATGGAATTAGACACTGGGTCGGCTGTTTCTATCATCTCGGTGGAGACTCTTTGGATAATCTGTCTGAGGGGTGGACCTAAGCTTCAAAACCCTCGCTACACCCTAATTGACTTTCAGAGGAAGGCTGTGCCTATCTTGGGACAAGGCAAATTTAAAGTGCGATATGTGGTCCGGGCTTTACGTTCAATTTTTGCCACTCATGGTATTCCTGATGTTGTGGTGACGGATAATGGGACGGCATTTACCTGCAGAGAGTTTCGGGAGTTTGTGGAGAGTAATCTTATCTGTCACGTAAGGTCAGCCCCCTTTCATCCCGCTACCAATGGTCAGGCGGAGAGGATGGTGCGTACCACAAAGGAGGCACTCCGACGCATTGGCCCGATGGAATGGGAAAGGAAGCTTGCTTGTTTCCTTTTATCTTATAGGACTACGCCCAATCCGGGGAGCGGGTATAGTCCTGCAGAGCTCTTGATGGGCCGTGGCCTAACGACCCGCTTGGACCGCCTTCACCCGGATAGAGTTTTAGAACGGCGGTTTCAAACAGAGGTGCATGAGGCACCACGTGGGTTTTTTTGTGGGGACCCAGTGTGGGCTAGGAATTACTCGGGTAGTCCTGCTTGGCTGGTGGCTACAGTTCTTTGAGTAACAGGGCCGGTATCTTATGAGGTTGCTACGGAAGATGGAAGGACCCTGAAGAGGCATATAGGGCAACTGCGCAGTCGCTTGCCAGGAGATGCCATGGCGCGGCCAAGACATAGTAGCTCGGAAGAGACAGTGACCGGTGGGCCCAGTCCCCTCGAAGAGGAGGAGGGGCTAGAGGATCTTGTTGAGCCGGCTGGGAGTGTAGGGCCTAATACATCGCGATCGGCTGAAATGGGAGCCGCTGCGGTAGCACCTTTGCCACAATCCCCATCACAACCTCCGGCAGCAGTAGCTCCTCCAACTGTGGGAACCCCAGAGGAAATAGAGCCTTGTAGGGAATTGCGGCGCTCTCAGCGAGAGTGGAGGCCGCCCGATTATTTTAGGGACTATGTAAGTTGTGGCCATTTAGACCAAGGGGGGAGGGGTGATGTGTCTCGGGATCAACCTTGCTGTGTCCTTCCAGGTTTTCGTAGTAGCCTGGTGGATGCAACAGCAGCTGTTAGGGATAACTTCCCTCCCTCCAATTAGCATGGATGCGGGGTAATTGGGGTGGGGGGCGGAAACCTTCAACGAGAGGCGGGGGGTTTATGTATATATATTTATGTATATATATGCGTGTGTGTGTGTGTACATGCTCTTTTATCCAGTAAATCATGTGGAATTACTGCTGTGTCCTGATTCTTCTTTGGGCGTCCAGCCTTTGGATCCATGAGGATCCGCGACTCTGATCCATGTGTTTCCGAGCCACTGCAAAAAACCTGCGCTGAAGGGACCCTGGTTTCTGTGGTGTCGCGTGTGGGCAAAGACGCGACCTCTGCCTTCCCCGTGCAAAAAAAAAAAAAGCATATGAAATCACGCGGGCCCCTTCTGGATTTCGGGGGCGGGGGCGCTTTTGCTTTCTTCTGCGCCCTCCAGGACATACTCTCATCTTGTTAATTCTACTGTACCTTGTTAATTACCTGCCACTTCTTTCCTTCCAAAATATAGACAAGAATTTTAATCTACAGGACTTTTCACGTACTGAAAAATAGAATAGTTACTGCAGTAAATATCAAAAAGAAGAAGGAACAAAACAAAGCTTTTAAACTTTGCTTGATATTCTATGCATTTTTGGTTTTAAGCCTGAAACAAATTATCACGCTTGCTTTTATTTGGGAACAAAAGCATAATTATCCAAACTTAAGAACTCTGACTTAAAAGAAGTAGTAAATGAAAGACTTTGTTTTTTGAGATTTATAGTAAATTTATATATTTTGTGTAATGTACTGTTGAGTCACATCTGACTTATGGCGATGCTAATGGAGTTTTCAAAGTATGTAAGATATTTATGGAATGGTTTTATCTGTGCCACAGATACGCCAGTGAGCTTCCATGGCAGAGTGGGAATTTGAACCTAGGAGTCCTGAGTCCCAGTCTGTCATTCTATCCACTGCACCACACTGGCCCAGAAGTAAGCTTTACCAAGTCCTGTGACTGTCAGGTAAACACAAACCTATGCACACAGACCAGGAAGTAAGTTGCACTCAAAACAGTGAGGCTTACTTCTGAATATGTGTAGAATTGGGTTGTTAAAGTCTCGGTGATTGAAACTGGGGGGAAAATGGCTTTAACTTGAAAATATTCTTAAACTCTGCCATTGAAACCAAAAACCATGCTTCATTTCAGCTTGATTGTACACATCCAATTCAACTTGATTGATTTAAAATATTTTTACCCCTCCTTTCTCCTTAAAAGATTGTATACAGGGATATTCATATAATGATTTGAAGTAGTTTCACATTGCTTTTTATCTTCTACCTTTTTTTTAAGGATGTTGTGGCTTTTGTACTTTACCTGCACCTTGTATAGCATTTTTCTGGTATTAATGGGGTGCCAAACGATACTGTATATCTTTGTGGTAATAGTGATGGTGTTTGTCTCTGAGAATCTGCTTTGCATCATGTGCTCCTCTTGACTGAGTCTTCAAAAATCTACTTTCTTATGTTATCTTTTGGAGTTTGCAACCTTGCATGCTATCTGTAGTTTGTGCGACTTTTGTTGACTGAAGTGATTGTATATTTATCCAGCACTAACCAATCATTACTTCCAACCTTCAAAGAGAGTCATACCTCTCCACTGAGCTTTCTGTTCCCTCTCTTTAGACGCTGGCCTTGCGGCTCTCAGTTCCAGCTCTCTTCTTGGTCTCTTGCAAGCCCCCCCAGTCATGCTTCTCCTGTGGGGGGGGGGGGTCAATGCCTGGCCTTGGCCCGGAGGCTGATGGCCCGGGTACATGGCCAGCAGGTTTTAGATGGAAGGCAGATCCCGGCCACTTCTGAGCCTTGGGTTCCTGGGAGAGGCCGGTGGTGGAGGAAGGAGCCACAGCTTCTTCCCCTTTCTTCTCTTCTTCCAGCCTCTCTGGGGGACGTTTCCAAACCCTTTGTGGACTTCACCAGCCCAGCTGAAGTCAACACCTACTTGGCCTTCAACGTCACCTCTGCGCTGTGCCTGACCGCGGCTGTCCTCAAGGCCTTCCCTGCACAACCTGGCCTGTGCCGGACGGTGGTCAACATCTCCTCGCTCTGCGCCTTGCAGCCCTTCAAGACCTGGTCGCTCTACTGTACTGGGAAGGCGGCCCGCGACATGATGTTCCAAGTGCTGGCTGTGGAAGAGCCGGCTGTCAGGGTGCTCAACTATGCACCAGGTGAGTGGGGACACATCCCCTCCCCATTCATTCATTCATTTCCTCCCACCCATCCACTCACAGCCATCCTGTAACTGGTTTTCCCTCCCAGGGCCCTTGGACACCGAGATGCAAGAAGTGGCACGGACCATGTCGGGAGACCAGTCTGTAAGGGAAATGTTCCTGGACCTGAAACAGAAGGGGCAGCTGTTAGACTGCGATGTATCGGCCCAGAAGCTGCTCAGTCTCCTTCTCACAGACACGTTTGAGTCCGGTGCTCATGTTGACTTCTATGACCTCTGAGAACACCCTTCTTCTCTTGGGTTTTGCTCCCAATAATCTTCCCATGCTCTTCTGTACTGCCCCCAAAGGTGGGAGGTCTTGTGCTCTTGATTTCTTCATGATGCAATGCTAACTGTCTGCTGTACCACCCTGGGCAAAATCATGTTGCTTAGCATAGGACCCATGTAGCGCAATGGTTAAACTGCAGTACTGCTGTTGAGACTCTGCTCCTGACCTAAATTCAATCCTGAACTCATTGGCTCATTAGGGCAGAGGAAGCAAGGTGTCACCAGAATAACTAAATTGTAACCCACCCAGAGAGCTTAGGTTGATATGGGAAGGTATATAAGCAGCTCACTTTGCCTTGCATACTGAATCATGCAAGAGTAAACCCACTGAACCAATGAGGATTTGGTGAGTCAACTTTTCTGTAAGTTCTATTGATTTAAATGAGCCTACTCTTAACTGTGACTGACTTTAGCACAGTAAGCAGCAACTGGAATAGTCCACCAGGCCCATTTACTCACTAAATCTCATTGATTTAGTGTAACTGAGTAGGCAAAGCAACAATATTTGGCCTGCGATGTGTCTGAGGAATCATCTACAAGGTCCTGAAGTTGGATGATGTGAACCTTAAAGCTGTCTCTTAGGCAGCCCTCTGAGAAGTTCCTTCGTTCACCAGGCTCTGCTTTTCTGTGCCCCTATTCAACATTAGACGGGGTGCAGGTGAGCCATAAGAGGCACCCCACTACACAATCAGTGCGTAGTGCGGTGGTTCTCAAAATGGGCTCCCTGGGTTTTGCGCCCCCTCCCATGTCCAAGAGTGAGTGGAAGCCCTACAACAGTTTGGAAACCCTCCTCCTGCTGCTGCTGTTGCTGCAGTTCAGACAACCTGGAAGTGACCGTCTGCACAGCGTGAAGGTGAAGAGGCAGAGAAGGAGTTTGGGAAGCCTGCCTTCACACAGGGACCGAGGAGGCTCCTACGGAGACAAATGTTGTCTGGGGCATCAAAGCCGGAGTGGCTCTGCCTCACATCAGGTGTGCGACCCCCGGGGATGGTGCTGCACATCGGATCTGTGGCTTTTCTCCCTGGCTGGGATTCCGCCATCTCTGCAGAGAACCAGAAACATATGATGGGAAACCCAGCCAGCTTCGGTCCCAATGAAACACAGAAGCCCTTGTTGCCTGGGTCACAAAACACAAACGGCTTTTGCCAGAGTGGTGGGGAGAACAGCCTGGGGTGGTCACTCGGCAGAGAGGAAGGAATTCTGGGGGGGGGGGGGGGGGGGGAGGGCTTTGGTGGAAGAAGAAGGGGGAGCCGTCCCTTGGAGGAAACAGGCAAGGAAGCGGGCAGGATGGTGGCAGGCACCCCTCAACAGTGAGCGAGTCGGGCCTTGTGGGAGGGCCAGCCCAGCGGCAGCCCTTGCCTGCGACATGCACCGGAGAGCTTTCTGTCCTTACATCCCACACCTGCTCTTTGAACTGGCTGAGACACCAGCTGGGCCTCTTGGTGAGAACGCAAACTGTGTGTGATGTGAAGGATTTTGGTGGCACCAAAAAAAATATTAAAGTTTGGACACACATCCAATTTTTTGTTTGTTTTGTTTTTGGTATTTCGTTGAAAAGGGCGCTGTGCTGGTCGTCAAGAAACAAATCTCAAAACCATTCCACCCATGAAAGCTTCTGATTTCTTCAGAATTCTTCATCAGGCTAGGTGGCATAAATGGGGTGGGGGTAAAAGGAGATGGGACAACCAGATATTTGGTCTGAGTCTGCTGTTAGTCACAGGACGGAGGTTTCAGAGAGAGAGCATCACCTTTAGGTGCACACAGACATTGCCTGACCCATACTAAGGGACTTTCTGATGCTCCCTGTTGTTGAAGCAAGCAACCCACGTTGGAAGGTTGCAGAAGAAACAGGTCGCTGTGGAGCGGTGGCGAGAGGATCAAGCAGCTTCTTTGCCCAACAGCAGTGCCCCCCCACCTCCTTCAGTTCCTGTTGATAGAAGAGCCCCCCGGGCAGAGGTCAGCAGCTTGATCAGAGCTTGGCCCTTGAGAGACAGTATGCCATGCAAGGCCTATATTTCAAAATATTGTCCTGGCCATGGGACCCAGTATGCCTTCGTTCTTCACACCCTCGTTTTGTTGTTGTTTAGTCGTTAAGTCGTGTCTGACTCTTCGTGGCCCCATGGACCAGAGCATGCCAGGCCCTCCTGTCTTCCACTGCCTCCTGGAGTTGGGACAAATTCATATTGGTCACCTCAGTGACCTCCTCCAAATATCTCATCCTCTGTCGTCCCCCTTCTCCTCTTGCCCTCACACTTTCCCAACATCAGGGTCTTTTCCTGGGAGTCTTCTCTTCTCATGAGATGGACAAATGAACCCCCTAGTTTACCTCTTAGTAAAATTGTCCCTTCTCACACAACAAACGGGGCTGCTTCTTAGCTGCGGTGTGTGAGACTGAGAAGGGCTGGCCCTGTGCCTGCCTTCTGCCGCTTAAGTCAAGGACCCAGCAGTTCCAAGGGACAGCAGGCACTGGGGAAGCCCCGAGGGCACAGCATCGCTGCCACCCTGCTGGGCAGCCGCTCTGCTTTAGCCTCTCAGAATCCCCTTGGGGTGACCAGGGTGCGATGAGGGCAAGGGGTGTTCTTCCATCAGCTTAGAAGAACATGCCATAAAGCTGACCAGAGGTTTAACGATCCCGTTAGCCAACACAGCCTGCCTGAGGGCGATGCTCTCTGCTTTGTTTGTTCACTCCAGGGTCCTCCACTTAGCTAGTGAGCTGCTGGCAGCGCAGAGGGACCCAGACTTCAGCACAAACACTTCCATAGGCTCCGCCTGCAGATTTTGTTCAGTTAGGTGTAACCAGTGCACTCTTTTAACTTGCCTTTCTACTTCTGAGTGTACAAGCTTCAGGGTAGCAGAGATGCATCTGTGAGCGTTTGATCTTTGGCTGGCGTCCGGCCCGGACTGAAACGGCAAATTTGGCAATTTCACTGTGTGCAAGAGCTCCTATGAATGAGGCCTGTGATGTCCAGAAGAGAGGCCTTGAATTATGTTGTTCTGGATCATTAGATGATGCATAAAATTTAATTTATTTAATGTATTCTGGTAAAATGAAGCAATTGTATGAAATACAGCGACATGCATGCTTTCTGAGGAGTCTCAAAAGCTGTGGTTTCTAAAAAGCACTGGATGTTTTCCTTGTTAACCAGTTTTCCCCCCTAATAAATGTGCCTCTTTTCCTGGAGAGAAAGAGAACAAAACTGAAGCACTGGCTGCATCTAGTTTGCTGATCCTTTTGCTACACCCTGCTCTGACCCCCCACAGTGGGGAAGCTTGTGCCCGTTGAGGACAAGGCAGGGCACCTGGATGCGCATCTATCTAGCCTTCCACCCTCCCTCTTTCATGCGCAGCCAAGGCAGGCAGCGGGCGGCCCCATCTGTCACTCCCGGGTTTTAGACCTGGTCACACGAGTTGCCAAGGCTGGGGTGGTGGGATCATGCGGACCCCGCAGGAAGAAGGCTCCTGCAGGAGGACAAGTCAAGGAGAGAGATGATGTCAGTTTGCCTGGTCCACCTCCAGAGCGCAGGACGAAGAGGGAACTAGTTGCTCTCCTGAGTTGATTTTGGAAAGGGGCGTATCCTACAGGAACCAGTTGGAACTGAATTACTTCTGGGCCTGTAGCACCCGTGGCTGTAACGCACTCATTTTTTCAAGGGACCCAGAACCAGTTTCTCTGCCTGGCGCCCTGGGATGAGGCGGGGTGCTGAGCCCTGAGAAGGGTAGGAAGAAGGATCCCAGCAGCAGTTCGTTTCGCCCCGTTACTCGAGGCCGTTACTCAGGCGGTTGAGACCGAAAGAGGGAGACAGCAAAACTGCCCAGGCCGGCTCGGCATTGCCGGTGGCACTCTTGCTTCCAGGGCGCCGCGTGGAACGCCCAAGGGCTGCGCGCCGGGTAACGCGTTACTTCAGGGGTAACGCTTTGCGTCTGTGTGTGTGGGAGTAACTGGAGCAGCAACGGTCTCCGAGCGGGTTCCTTTTTTAACAGTAACGTCCGGACCCCACCCCCCGCCCCCGCAAAAGGTGGGACGCCCCAGAAAGGAAAAAAGATGTCTCGTCTCGGTCGGGAAGCGGAGAGACACTGATGCCCGTGGAGATGCCGGCGCCTAGAGCGGCCTGGGGGGGGGAGGAGGAGGAGGAGGAGGAGGACTTCAGGTACACCGGAAGTCCGGTCTTGGTCGGGCTGAGGGGGCGCGCGCTCCGCTCTCTTCTCTTCACGGGCCTTCCGGGCGGGCTCCGCGGCGCCTCAGTCTTTCCCCCTGGTGGGGAAGACTACGCTTCCCGGCAGGCCGTGCGCGGGGAGGGCGCGGCCGTTGCCATTGCGACGGCTGGCCGAGGGGCGCG